TTGTGCCTCTTCAATATGAACCATCCAATCTTCATTGCTGGTCCACATTAGAAGATCTTGATCTGTCGGCAAACAATTTTGTTAGTCTTCCGGATTGCATTAGCAAATTTGTCAACTTGAATGAGCTTAGATTGCAAGGTTGCAAGAGGCTTCGGGAAATTCCACATGCCCTTCCACCAAATCTAAGTGATTTATATCTGGATGATTGCACATCATTGGAAAAAATTCCAAAGTTGCCCTTGGGGCTTAGGCGTCTGCAGTTGACTAATTGCTTTGGACTAAGTGGCGATGAGGTGGCAAAGTTGGAAAATAATTTGTTGAACTTGAATCAGGTTCGTCTCTCCTCTTTTAATTTCTCTTGAAATTAAAATATATAATTTGTCGATACTTGGGAGGGAGAACAGATGACGATTGTTTGTAATTAGTTATTTACATATTATTCACTATTGCAGGAATCTCTTCTGTACTCTCAATTGCAAGTTATGTATCCAGGCAATGAAATTCCAAAGCGGTTCAGCTATGCGTCTAAATATCTAACAGCCACTAGGATTGAAAGTATACGAAATGAAGATGAAGAAGATGATGAAGAAGATGATGATGAAGATGAAGAAGAAGATGATGATGAAGATGATGAAGAAGATGATGAATATGTTGGAGGTAGTGAATTTAGTATTGAAATTCGTCTAAATTTACAGGAGAGGGAGACGTTATTAGGATTGGCTCTATCTTGTGTTTTTCCACCACGGGTATCAGAATTTGGATGTTTTTACCATTTTCGTATTTACATCAACGAAGCAAGTGATTTTGAATTATTTCATTGGATGGGGAAGAGCATGGAGACAGCTCATATGGGGCTCATGTTAGTGGATTTAGAGAAGCAGGGAGATATTTGTAAAGTTAAACTTCAATTCCCCGTATGGGCACGCATTAAAATGTGCGGGGTGCACCCCTTATTCCGCAAAGAAGATGATCGGCAACAACAATGGCCTTCCTTATCGTCGAACCCAGCGATGATCAACCGAAACGCACGCAGATTGATCACAATGTTCCTTCTGATATTAAGGTACGGAAAAGCCCTTGAGCTTTTCAGTTTTAGCAATTTTTTTATTGTTCTTTATTGTGATATCATTTTTTAAATTAATATAATAGAAATTAATTAATTTAAATTAAATAAAGGAAAAAATTTGAACAGTTTTCAATCTGCATAATCAAAGATTTCATATCTGTAGGTGGTTAGTTATTAGAAAAACAGAAACCACATTTGTATCTTGAAGTACATTTCACTAATCAAATCAAATTCTAATTAATCAAAACAAACAATTATGGAAGGGAAACATACAAGGAGAAATGAGATTATAAGTACAAAATTCAAGATTAATTACCTAAAAACTTGGTTTTGTTCATATAAGTACAAAATTTCTACACGAAGATCAAAGAACTACATCGTATGTAAACCACATGCTTCTCTTTGTTAATCAAGTTTACACGCAGAGATGAAAGACTTGTAGGACTACTGTTTAATCAAGAATCGGGGTTTGCAACTATTTTTTTATTAGCATTTACTTCTGCTTTTTCAATTAATGGATACGTGGAAAATTTGATTTGGTGTGGATTTAGAAAAGAAGCAGGGAGATATTTGTAATGTTGAATTTCTTTTCCTCAAGGGCGCATGCATTAAAAGTTGCGGGGTGCACCCACTATTGCGCAAAGAAGACGAATGGCTTCCCTTGTCTTTGGGACCAACAAGTAGTCTTGGAAAGACGCCTCGTCCACTTGGATCCTCAGATACCGTCCACGAGGAATATGATCGGCAACGACAATGGCTTTCCTTATCTTCGAACCCGGCGGATGATCATCCGAAACGCAGGCAGATTGATCTTAATGGTCCTTTTGATATTGAGGAGGAGGAGCAAGAGCAACCATCCACTTCAGATGATTCACAATTTTTTCTTCATTAGGAGTTTGGGTACGTACATTTCAGTTTTAGTATAACTAAATAATTTTTTTAATTTTTTTTTGTATTGTGAATTTGTGATACCTTTATAGATTAATATAATAAAATTAATTAATTTAAATTAAATACATAAAAAAAAGAAAATTACATTTTACCTCCTCAACTTTGGGTCACATAACAATCTCATATTTTATCTTTTAAATATTGCTATATTATACATCAATTTACAAATTTGCTGCAATATCATGCCTCCATCAACTTTTCTGTTAATTTTTATGTTAAATGCTGATGTGGTAGACACGGATCCGCTCACTTACTTAACTAGGTTATAAAATTAATTTAATATTAAAAATTAAAGAATTTTTAGTTCTAAATTAAATTAAAATTAACAAATAAATTGATGGATATTTTAACGGAGGTTTAAGATTGCAACAAATTCGTAAGTTAACTAAGACATTGTAATGTTTAAAAGATGAGGTATAACTTTGTTATAAGACCCAAAGTTAAGGTGGCCCATGTAATTTACCCAAGAATTTAAACAATTTTCAATTTGCAAAAACAAAGATTCCATATCTGTAGGTGGCTACTGGCTAATTCTTAGAAAAACAGAAACCACATTTGTATCCTAAAGTACTTTTGACTGTGAGTGAGTAAGCCACACTTCAATAATAAAACCAAATTCTAATTAATCAAAACAAACAACAATGGAAGGAAAACATACAAGGAGAAATGAGATTATGAGTACAAATTTCAAGATTAATTATCTTAAAACTTGGTTTTGTTCAGATATATAAACCTACAAAGAGAAATGGAGATTATAAGTATAAAATTTCTGCAGGAAGATCAAAGAACTACACCGTTTGGATGAACATGTAGAGCACGTACTCCTCCCTCTGTTAATCAAGTTTACACGCAGAGATGGAAAACTTGTTGGAGTACTGTTTATATAAGAGTACTTTTTATGAGCATTTCCAATTAACGAATAGGTGAAATTTTTTGATTTGGTGTTGATTAATAAGATTTAGTATGATTTTAATATCAAGATGAGACAACAATATGTAGAAAACATGGCCATAATTTCACAGGTCTCTGTCCCTATATATTGATTCCTTGCAGATTCTGGGATGGAGTTTGGGTCAAAATTGCAGCCAACTGTGTCTTGACACATTTTTGGTTTTGGACAAATACTCTGTCTCCTGCCTTTTGCCATTTATGGCTCCTTTGTTTTCTCTGTTGCTGCTGGGACAGAGTCCATTAGATTTGCCCGTTTATTTTCTTTGCTCCCACAAACGGGGTGCAGGAGGCTAAAAAATGAGCTTTGAAATTTATAGGGCCCGTTTATTTCATTCCATTGACATTTTCAAGCTAACTTTTTGGCTTCTATGATCCACAGGTGAGTTGGCTTCGCACAGGCAAGGAAACATCATTGGAAGAGTTCATCCTTAGTCCCCCCAATGTGCTTACTGAAAATCAGGGAAATCAAATACGGCTATATGGTCCCGAAAAGGGCTTATCATACATCGCCAAACCTGCAACTGGACAGAGTTTTATATCTCACCACGGGAGCACGTTGAACCTAAGCATGCCTCTCGTGGATCCTCTGGTCACTCTCTTTGGCAGTGTCCACGAGAAGATGTCCGAAAGGGGAAGCAAAGGCAGCATGCTTTATCCAAATCTTGGAAGCATTTTGAATGCAGGGGAGTATCATAATAAAAACGCACATTGGGACATAGAGAGCCAGACAGATGGTGAGGATCACGAATCTGAAGCATCCGGGGCTTATTGTGATGAAAGCTTGAGAAGTCCACTAATCTCGTGCCAAACAACAGGCATGGGAACGCCTAGGTCTTGCGGCAGTGCTTTAGGTGTGAGATGCAATACAATCTTGATGAAAGGAAATGTACAAGCTAGCGAGGCTATCAGTAGTAGTATGGACACTGGTGGAGGTTGGCAGCTGGCTTATATATAAGTATTCTGACCGAGTAGGCGAAGACGGGAAGAAGGAAGGAGGAGTTCAAAAAGTGTATTTGCATCAGGATAGTGCACTTTGGTGTCGGCCTGCGTCGGTTGTTTCAATTTCTGGTGCATTCATGGTGGTCTGGTTAGTCAGCCTGATGTTTCAGAAACTTTCTTGTTTGTCAACCTTCTATGTTGTCGGGTGCATCGATTCTTGGATATTTGTTTACTTGAAGGTGCCTGAAACTAAGGGCATGCCTCTTGAAGTCATCTCTGAGTTCTTTGCTGCAGGTGTAAACCCAGCTGCTGCTGATGCATCTGCGGATTCCAATGAAAAGTGATTTGATTGTTTAGAGGGTTTGAAATTTGGTTTGATTTTAGACTGGGATTGTGAGGATAGGGCTTGAATTGGAGAAGTGCTTATGACTAGATTGCTTTTTTTTAAAGTGATTTTCTAATCATCAATGTCCCTTCCTTAATGCTGCAGAAGTATATTTGATATGGAAAACTAATGAAAATGGCTTGAAAACCCTATTTGATACCATGTTTTCTAATCATAGATTCTTAATCTAATCCTAAATATTGATTGAAGTTTAAAACAGTCTAATTAACCACCCTTGTAGTTCCAAATTGAAGTTTAAAACAGTCTGCACTTATATTTTCCTATCTATTTAATTTTAGGCAGACATATATTGTTGTAGACACTCTTTCTTATTATTGTGATCATATACCAAATAACTCAATATAGATCACAATAATTCTTACTGAAGTATGGTTTAAATTTTTGTTAGATATGAAACTGATCAAAATCAAATTGCTCATGCGTTACATTGTATTTAAAAAAAACGTGTGTCTAACACTAATTTGATTTGCATACTGTCTTATAAGATCTTATTTAACTCGTGACAAATAATAGTATATGACTTGCTAATTTATTTACAAAGGAGAAATTCACTAACTTTACGTATCCTAAACGGCCAATATATGCACCTGAGTTTGAATTTTCATTCCCATAATATAGATTTTTTTTTTAAGTTTGTATGAAAAGAATTTTACAATGTCTTGAAAAAATATGAAGGAAGAAAAAAAGAAACTGTTTTTAACTGCTGCCTAAGCTGAGCCCAGTTGCCGTGTAGCACTAGCAAGTAGCAACAGGAAAGTCTGCTGAGAAAAGTCAGTCATCGTCTTCACTAAATTGAGTTAGAAGAATTAGGGGTTTAGATTTGCAAAGATCCAAATTTTATCAGTCTCTCCGAAAGTAATCAGAGAAATGGAAAGTCAACCAAAGAACGGAGACTCGCTGGAGAAGCGGCCCGGCATCTTCTTCCTCGGCTCCCCCGGCGTCGGCAAACGCTCTCTCATTACGCGTAAGCTCTCTCTCCTTTGACCGATACTAAGCATGATCTGTTGATTTGTTGGATTACTGGGTTTGGATTTATACAATGCTTCTGATTCTTCATCGTCATCTCAACTGGTAGTCAATGGGTATGTAAATTTTTAATTTTGGGATCAAAGAATTCAATTTTAGGAATTTTGGGTACAAAGAATACAACTTTTAGGAATTTTGGCAACAAAGAATTCGTTTTTAATTCTTTTGAAATGTGAATTTTGATGATTTTTTTTGTGTTAAAAAAATAGATGGAATATCTCTACAAAGTACTACACAGCTGACGTTTCGGTATGGATGGCTCGTCTCCATGACGAATTTTCGATTGAGTCCCTCCCAATGTTTGACCAGTTGGCTGCCTTGATCTGGTTTTCGACACAACTGAGGTTTCCGTCTCTTGCCACTCACTCTTTGTCATTTTGTTTACTTATTTAGCATGATTTTCGATGTGTCTTGTATCAATTTGTTCGCGTTATGCTGCAGTTGTCGTCTCTGTCTGCGCTTCAGAAATAGGTATCTTGAACTGATCTTCAAAAGTTCGATATACTAGTGTGCATAGGGAATAAGGTTGATCTTGTTCCAGGTCACCCGGTTCATACCGAATATAGAAGACGACTGCAGAAGTTTGGAGACCAGTTTGATGATGACGACGATCTAGGGTTCACTGTGTATGGAATCACCGAGACTGAAGGAAGCAGTTTATTGGGGGATGACGAGTCATAGGCCAGAGACACATGTTTGGAATGGTGCACTGAGCATAACTTTGAGTTCGTCGAAGCTTATGCTGATTTTAACAAATGTAAGGCAGCACTTCTTTCTGACTCGTATTTTATGGCAAGTTTTATACGAAAGTGAAAGTTTGAAGCCGGATGAGATGTCAAATTGTTACTAGGCAGCAGTTTAGGTGTGGTTACATAAAAACACATGGTGTACCATACAACTAAAAATTTCTCCCACATAAGCAGCACACAGGATAAACTCAATTGAACAAGTTGTTGCTCAGGCTCTTTTGTTCATGAAGAAATTTTTCATTATTGTGCCTAGAATCAAGTTTTTAATTTTTTTTTCACACAAATATCTCATCACTTGTTTAGTGACACATGATGTATCACCATGTGTTATGGGTATACTGAAAAATCTCTCGGCTCTATCTCTGTCATCTTATAATTTAATTTCGATTTTCGTGCCAACATTACAAAACATTATTTCAAAAGTATGAAGTGAAAGATATTCTATGGAGACTAGGAATATAAGTTGCTTATTAAGGTTTTTATTTGACCAATGTGATATTTTGGTTAGGTAAGTAATTGAAGGTGAACGTTCTTAGTTATCTGAAAACATTTTTCTGATGGTTTTAGAAGCAGCCCAAGTGACCGGTTCGATATTTAGGTAAGGAGGTAAATGATTATGTACAAGCGTCGATAACATATTCAAAATCTAAAGCACTTATAAACTATCATGAAGTAAACGTTCTTGATTATCTAAAGCACTTGCAAAATTATTAAGAAAAGGATATTCTTAGTTATCTGAAAACACTTTTTTCTCAATAATTTTTAGAGGCAATTTCGCAGTGTTGAGATGTTAGCTTCGAAGGCACTCCAACTTGCAAAGAGTGCTCCACAAAGTTCAACAAAAGTAGAAACAAAATCAATTAAAAATCCCAACTCACAAGTGAGAGCAATGGTTATGCTTCAAGGTCCAACCATCTGACCTCTCTAAGTTAGGCTTCAATTTTACTTCATTTCCCACTCCAAATTTCCAAGCATCTGTACCCCATTGACCCTTTGCCCGCTTTAAGCAATCTAGAAAAATCATTTACATAAGAGAAATACTAAGTGAATTCTTTCAAAACGAACTTTTCATAACTCTTCGTCACAAAAAATAATTCAATTTTATTGTCTCCTTTGCATGCAAGAATTCAATTTATACCTAGCTGATGTACATCATTGTATAAAATTCCAAAACTACCAGTGCTTTGGATTCTGGACCTGACTAATCACTGTAGACTAAGTAGTGATGAGATGGCAAAGTTGGAAATAACTCGTTGAATTAGGTTCATCTCTTCTTCTTAATTTCTGATGAAATGAAAATTAATCTTGTTGATAACTGTAATTATTTAACTATATATATACATTACTGCAAGAACTTCTTCTGCGTTCTGAATTGAAAATTGTTCTTCGAAGCAATGAAATTTCGAAGTGGTTCAGATATACATAAAAAAATTAAATTTTTTTTCATTGTGACGGGAATACAGGTTACCACCACGGATGTTTATGTAAATGGTGGGAAATTTTATTTTTTAAGTTATTAACCTTTTAACATACATATCCCAACATTTGTATAATGACATATGGTATACTATTTCGTGTGCCGGTCACATTAAAAAATCACTCTGGTTAAGAAAAAAATGCATTATTAGTCTAAAAGACCACCGAATGTCGGTGGGACCAAGTTTGATTGCACTGCTCCCTCTTTTTTATTCTTGAATTAAAAAAAATCAAAAAGGAGAATTAATAGGTAAAAGTAAAAAAATAAAAAAAGTACAAAAGAAGGAATCGGGTGTGAAGAAAATCACTCTACAATACGTAATACTTTTGTTACATTTTTGAAAGTCAATTGCATGTTGATGTGCTTTTAACTTTTGAGTACAGAATACTTAATATTTGTCAATCAATCATCGGTATATATCATGTTGGAAGAGGATTCCCATTGGATTCTTTTTGTGGAGATTTAGGTGATTTTCTAATTCTGCGTATTTATCGTTATTGTGTAGTAAAAAATCATATTAAATATTTATATTTAAAATTAAAATTAAATATTATTTGACGAAAATTGATCGAACGATGAACAATAAACGCACCAAATTAAAGGATCTCCCTAAATTCCCAAAAAAAAAAATCTGAAGATGATCCTCTTCCTATCATGTTGATATCGTGGAGCACAAGGTAATAGTTAGCAAACGAAATTGATAGGATAGGGGTAATGTGATTAATACAAGTGCAAAGACGACAACGAGGGATAAAGTGATACTTTCGTGCTAGTTCCGAGGACATTTTGGTAATTAAGCCTTTATATTTACTAATCTTGATTTGATTTATAATTAGTACTCATTTTTGGCGTCGTATCATTCTGACATGGATTCCTTCCGGATCCATTATGTGGGGAACTAGGGATATTTACATCTCAGTCGTTTATTGTGTATCGCATGATCATAAATCAGTTGATTTTTATTTATTTAAAATTAAACACAAATTGTACATGATGAAAACTGATCGCATAATATACGATGAACGCTGAGATGTGTTGAATCTTTATCGATCCCTTTTTTTTTAACGTTTAACAATTGAACTCATTAATATTAAAATAGATAAAAATAGAGTACGAACAAAAAAAAATCTTAAATGCTTTTGTTGCAGTCTTTCAAGTTAATTGCGTATTTTCATGCATTTTAACCTTTGTATGTACATAATTGATTTGTCATACGGTCATAGTAGCTTCATATGACATCGTTTATGTGTCATGCGGGTGAAAAGAACGTGTGCTTCAATAACAAACGAAAATAATAAATAAATAATAAAACTAATGAAAATGGTTTGAAAATTTGAGTTTTAATGATAAAGACAAAACAAAGGATAAAGTAAATAGTATCAGGATTGACTTTTTAGTATAAAAATATGGTTTTTCGTTAAAGTGAACAGTACCGAAAAGTTTTTTTGTTAAAATTCCCTAAAAAAAAAAATCAATCTTTATGAATAGAAGTTGCAACCAAAGCTCCTCTCCATCAATTCTGGAAGGTAGCACGTAGGAAACTGCTTTGTGGCTGTGGGTAGGCAGAAAAGCATGAGGCTTGACAAGAGAAAGTCCCCAAGTTTATTTGGCTTTTAGTATAAATTATTTTCTCATTTGTCGAAGAAAAAATCACCTTAAATGACTCACCTTTCTTCAGGTATGCGACATTATTTATATGGTTCAAAATGACACAAACCGGATATAAATAATGTGGGGGTGTGGTTAAGGAAAAAATGCATTATTACTTTGGTAACTCAAAAACCATCTATTGTTGGTGAAACCAGAATTTTCCTAACATTTGCTCACTGACGTTATCGTTTTGTTGAAAAATATAAATAAATTCTGCACCTGCATCCTGTTTTCAATGCACTGCATATTCCTCTGCTTCTCTTGTTTTTTTTTTTTTTTTTTTTTTTTTTTGTTGTTCTCGTTACGAAAATGAAAATTATCCAAAATGAATGGTATTAGCTATTCCCATCCTAAATGGAAGCGTGAAGGGATTGTAAGAACTTTAACACAGATCGATGATATGCCAATTGAATTACCAATGTTCTGAAACAAGTCAAGTGACAAAACTTATGAACAAGAACAAGGATTGCCGAGAACATACCTGCAGAATTTGAACTTGAAGAAACCATAACAGCCTCTGTGTTCAAAACCTTCTCCTCTTTTACGATCACAATAGCTTTTCTAATCAATAGGACTTAGAACAACATAAGCTAATATCGCAAGAGCAGTGGTTTGAACCATAAATATATAGTGCTCCTTCGTCCATTCCCTATCAGAATTGGACTAGGATTCAAAGACATACAAACCATAAAGATTCATGAGACTTTATAAAGTTCCAACACAAAGTTCTTTTCCAAAACCAATTGGAACTTCTCTCAAGACTGCATTCCTTATCAGATTTAGACTTCTTTATAATATCAATTATCCCAAGACTTATAAGAATCATACTCATACTCTTACATTCTCCCACTTGAGTATGATTCATCACAACAGATAATCATCTCAAATTATAAAGGTGATCAGATAAGTCATTCACCATCACACTAGTACATAGACACAACCTGCTTACATAAACCAAAACAATGAATTTATAATTGCCTATGCAACACAAAATACAGATTTAACTTACAAATCACAATGTCCAGTTTATGTTCATAGCAATGTATCTAAGCTCAAATTTATATAAAAATTACCAAATGTTTTGGATAAAAGCTTATCCTCACATACAACTTACCTATGCATTTTACCAAACCAATTTGCTCCCACTTATCTAGGCCATACTTAACACAAACAAGTTAAGTATAAGTTAATATCAACTGTATTAACTAACAGTCATTGCAATACACTGAATGTCTTATTAATGTGATCAATTGCCGCAACCAATACGCAAACAAATTCCATGATCACATTCATCCAATTCGTATTTACAACAATGTGATTTTACTTGACCAGAGCAAACACATAAATTGATTTGCTCCCACTATATCAAGTTAAGTTTAGTTCCAGCAAATAGCACTAAACTTCTCATTACTTAAACAAATTAAGTAACATAAATAATTACCAATTGCTTCAATAAAACCATAATCTGGTTTTCAAGCATCCATATGAATTATAATGGCTGGCTTAAATACTCTTAGCCTTATGCTTATATTCGAACATACGATTCTCCCACTTAAGCATAAGGAGAATATACTGCACAGTCAATAAAGAAATCGGAGATATGAACCAATTGGTTCCCGATTCCTTACCTATTGCATAATCTCAGTTTAGTTATATACACCTAAACCATTATACAAAACAGTCTATGTATCAAAAGATAGTCACAATCCATTCGGAAAAACTTATCTCACATAAACTCAAAATCACTAGTTTCAACAATGATCAAAATCAGAATAGCAAGCACAATATTTTTGCATTCAATTTGATCTTAACTAGTTCAATATCCATCGAGCAAGATCAACCAAAATTTGATAATGTTTGGATATATATGACAACAATATATCTTGATTAAAACGAGATAATCAAGACTACTATTTCTTCTGGAGAACTCGAAGTTCATCTTTCTCCTTATTTGTGATTTCAACCAAAATATAATAGCGGAAGCATGCATCATGAAATCACAAATATACATATACAATAAGCATGCATCGATATATATACATGATAAGATTAGTCGACAATAATCCAGATTAAAAATCTTCATGCCTTTAATTCATTGTCAACACCATCATCAATTATATACAGATTCGTAAGCAAGTCCTTGGAGAAATAATGATAACTGCATATCATTAGTCTTATGAATTTCCAATAAGATGACAAATAATTATTTGTTTTCCGATTCATAATAGAATATATATTTTGTAAATGGCTAAAAGTTTATTGTCACAAGACTCATTATAGGCGGTCAATAAAACATCTACCTTATATATTCATTTGTTCATATATTTTCTTGTATGCTTGCATCAATATTCAGAGAAACTTATGCAAGTTCTATTTGATATAGATAAAGCCGCATGCCCATAATTACAACATCTATGCATGAATGCTATCTAGATATGAATACAAATTTAATTCATATATGCGATTTATGTATAAGTCACAAAGCAATTGGCATCCATTTTATATATGCATTCCATGTTGTTGCTTTATATTGCTTGCCGACTTGCACATGATATGCAGTCAAATCCATTCCAACCCAAACTTGATATAAATCAAACCAATTGAAAATCAGGAATTGACAATAAGATGTGCACTTGTGCTGCTCCCCGCAATTAAATGTATTGAGATTCATACATGAAACAATGCATATACACAGACTCTTTAATGAAAAATGGAAAAGTATATCTAGACAAATTTGTTTATGCAGCAAAGTATGATTCCAGACATCTCACATAAATCACAAGTTGGCATCTATAGGGATTTCGAGTTTAATCATGCCTTTACAATTTATATAAATAAACAAGCATACTCGAAATAGCAAAAGACCTAATCATTATGCTCCAACTCATCACACTATAATCATGCATATAGGAGAACAATTAATCACGCATGAAACAGTGAAGTGAGTTACATGAATGCATCATTGGACTCGTATTCGTCAACCAATTGCAATTCCTCGACTCCAAATTAACGAAATTACTTATCCATCAGTGCTCGAGAATCGTCCATGCGGATTGTCATCACTCCAAATTCCCATGCGGATTGCCATCATAATCAACACAGCGGAAACAAGAATTTTGAAAATCAGAATTACGATGTTTATGAGAGATGTATACTGATAAATTACTATACTTATCACCAAATAAGCAAACATGAAAAAGTTCTCTCAACCCCAGATTGAGAAACACGGTTTCAGAATAAGTAACTAATCTTGACACCAATTCCATTTAACTCAATCTAAATGTTAAACAAAATTCAAGAAATTGCAATAAGATTTCAAAATACATACCCTTTTATGAATGGTTTCAGGATCGTATCAATCTTAGCATCAATCATGTATAAAGATTGCAGTATTGTATATATTACATCAGGAGTTTTGTATGTATCAAGGATCAAAATTCGATAAACTTGATATAATACATCAGGAGTTTTGAATTATAAACATACCTTTGGGAACAAAAGAAAAATATATATTATCGCAAATCCAAATCTTAAACAAAGATGGTTGTGAACGAGAAGATCTAGAAGCAAAGCATGTTTGGATCATCACAACTTCAAACCAAGAAGAGAAAAAAGGTGCAAACCCAGAAAATTTCGTACAAGGTTATGAGTTTTGCCAATATTCAATTTAAACAAGGTTATACGTTTTCTAGGTTTGGAACGTTTAAGTGTTCATAGCTTTTCCATCAGATTCTTGTGTAAATTTCGAACTCAATGACAATAATCAACTAGGCTCTGATACCACATGTAAGAACTTTAACACAGATCGATGATATGCCAATTGAATTACCAATGTTCTGAAACAAGTCAAGTGACAAAACTTATGAACAAGAACAAGGATTGCCGAGAACATACCTGCATAATTTGAACTTGAAGAAACCATAACAGCCTCTGTGTTCAAAACCTTCTCCTCTTTTACGATCACAATAGCTTTTCTAATCAATAGGACTTAGAACAACATAAGCTAATATCGCAAGAGCAGTGGTTTGAACCATAAATATATAGTGCTCCTTCGTCCATTCCCTATCAGAATTGGACTAGGATTCAAAGACATACAAACCATAAAGATTCATGAGACTTTATAAAGTTCCAACACAAAGTTCTTTTCCAAAACCAATTGGAACTTCTCTCAAGACTGCATTCCTTATCAGATTTAGACTTCTTTATAATATCAATTATCCCAAGACTTATAAGAATCATACTCATACTCTTACAGGGATGAGATAAGGAATGGGACCCTGACAAAGACTGGTAATAGTATTAGTAATTAGTCTTCGGTAGTTCAAAGACGACCGTGGAACCAAGTTTGAATGCACTCCTCCCCTTTTTTTTATTCTTGAATTAAAAAAATCAAAAAGGAAAATTAATAGGTTGAAATAAAAATATAAAAAAAGTACAAAAGAAGGAAACGGTGTGAAGAAAGTCCCTCTACAATACGTAATACTTTTGTTACATTTTTGAAAGTCAATTGCATGTTGCCGTGCATTTTAATTTTTGAGTATAGAATACTTGATATATTGTCAATTAATCATCCGTATTTTGTCAATTAGTGTCTGGTACCTATGGATCCTTTAATCTGGACCGTACAACTAACAGTCCTGATTTGATTTGCACATCAATCAATGGTCCAAATTAAAGGATCTATAAGCTCCATAACGAATCCAATTCCTAAAAAATTTGATCGTATAATGAATAATGAATGTACCAAACTCCCACAAAGAAGATCCGGAGAGAATCCTCTTCCTATCATGTCGATATCGTGGAGCAAAAGGTAACAGTCAGCAAACGAAGTTGATAGGATAGGGGTACTGTGATTGATACAAGTGCAAAGACGACGAGGGATAAAGTGATACTTTCGTGCTAGTTCCGAGGACATTTTGGTAACTAAGCCATATTTAGTACTCTTTTTTGGTGTCGTATCATTCTCTCTCTCAAAGATTAATTATAAGAGAACTTTAACAAAAAGCTTCATGTATTATTTATTTTAATAAAAAATTATATTTTTACACTAAAAAGTTAATTATGGTATTATTCACTTTAGTTTTTTTTTTATAGTTAAAACTCAAAGTTTTCAAGTATTTTTTATTAATTTTCCTTAATTATGATTTACAAATAGTAGCTGAAATGGGTCTCTTTTTTCTTTATATGCAATTGTATTTCATTACTTCTTTTGTCTTTTTCTTCAGCACTGAAAAAAAAAAAAGAAAATTGCTTTCATACATCATTTCTCATTTTATCACACTTTTGTTTTGTTGTATTTAGATTGAAATCACTAGCGACAAAAATTGTCCGAATGGAATCGTTTTAGTTGTTCCCGACTAATATAAAAGTCCTAACAAAGACCGACAAGAGCAACGTGGGGCTGGTAAAAAAAAGTTGAGTCAAAATCGCTACCCAGAAAATTGTCCGGAAAGAATCTTTTTATAGCTGTTCCCATCTGTCTAGTTTGATGAATGGAAGTTCCGAGGAAGGTTGCTTTGCTTTAACTTTATCACGTTCACATTGAAGGTGGTAGGAAACTGCTGCTTCACATTGAAGGCAGAAAATCATGCGAAAGGCCTGATATATAACAAGAACGAATTCTTGGTGCAAGTACCAGTCCAGCATCCATACTCAATTCTTTGAAAGGCCCTTACCTAGATTTCTCCAATGAACAATCAACTTGTCTCTTCTTCTTCCTTCAGCAGTCCTCCTTTGTGGAAGTACGATGTCTTTTTGAGCTTTAGAGGAGAGGATACACGAACCAATTTTACAGATCATTTTTACAAGGCGTTGGACGGCAAGGCAATCACCACGTTCATTGATCACCAACTTAAAAGAGGAGAAGGAATATCTCAGGCTCTTCTCGAAGCAATTGATGAGTCGAGAATTTCGATCATTATATTATCTAAAAACTATGCATCTTCAAGATGGTGCTTGGAAGAGCTCGTACGTATCCTTGAATGTAGAAAGTCAAGGAAGCAAATTGTTTTGCCAGTTTTTTACAAAGTGGATCCGTCCGATGTACGAAAGCAAACGAGTAGTTTGGTGACGCGTTTACAGAAAAGTTCAAATTCGAAGACAACAAGGAGAAGATCCTCACATGGAGGAGTGCTCTTACAGACGCAGCAAATTTATCAGGATATACTTTCAAAGAGGGAGAGTACGTATATTTCTTCCCCTTATACTGCCTTTAATCTGAAAAGATGACTTTACCTGAAATTCAATTTTCTTTACATAAAACCCAACCTAGTTTTTGTGCTTGACTAATTAAGCTTAACAAGTTACATTTTATATCTTTTGGTTTCCTAAAATACCCCTAATAACAATTTGATTCTCTAGCATATTTATATCCATTTATTGTGTTAAACCTATTGCAAGTTTAACTGGTCACTAGTACTCATTGTGTTAAATTTCGAATTGGCTGGATTAATTACCCGAGTGTACCCATTTTTTGTTGTTCAAATTTTAAATTTATTAATATTTTTTGGTTTCCTAATTTTGTTTGAAAAATCAATTTACCTACGTTTTTGAAAAATTAACTTACAAATTACTGATTTTGATTAATAATGTACCTATGGTGTTGTTTTATAATTTACCGATTACTAATGATGTTAGGTAAATTAGTACTTTTAGGAAAGAAATGATACATATCCATACAAAACATCTTTTTTCATCCGAACAACAACATAACATTTAAATGCAAAAAAAAAGGTCCATGTCTTATGGAAAGATGTTAGGATTTTACAGAGTAATAAACGGCAATGTGAAATTGTGAATAATGGAATAGGGGTAAATCATTTTATTAATGGGTCAATTATTATCTTACATGATTCTGTATTTAGTTGCAAGCGGCACATGCTTGACTGTATCAGTGATTATCCATACCTCTGTTTTTTTTCAATCTTTTTTATCTTTTCATTCTCTTCTTCTTTTTACCTTTTTTTCTTTTTTCAAAGAAATATAGCATAAAAAGTTGATTGACTAAATGTGTCAATTTTTTTATATAAACTGGTAGGTATGAAGCTACATTTATCAGTAAGATCGTGGAGGAGATCTTCGTCCCCGTACAACAATGCACGCATTTGAAGGTAGCCAATTACCCAGTTGGAATGGAGTCTTGTGTAGAAAAGGTGAAAGAGCTTTTAGGTGTCAGGGGAAATGATCCGTGTGTGGTTGGGATTTGGGGGTCATTTGGAATCGGCAAGACAACAGTTGCAAAAGCTGTTTATAATGCAATTGCTTATGAGTTTGAAGGTAGTTGTTTCCTGGCAGATGTTCGAGAAACGTCAATACAATACAGAGGCCTACTCCAACTACAAAACACTCTTCTGAGTGAGATTGGTGGTTCAGAGTGGAAAGCTGTCAATCTTCATAGAGGAAACATCCTTATAAAGAAACTGTTGAGGGGAAAGAAGATTCTCTTAATTCTTGATGATGTGGATGATTTTGAGCAGTTAGACAACTTGGTTGAAGTCCATCAGTTAGGTGAGGGTAGCAGAGTGATCATAACCACAAAAAATAAAGGATTGCTGGAATCTTGTAAAGTTGAGCTGATATACAAGGTCCAAAAGTTAGAAGACAACAAAGCTATTGAGCTTTTTAGTTGGAATGCCTTCGGAAAAGAAAAACCTCCAGATGATTATTTGGGACTCGCACGACGTGCAATAGCCTATGCTCAAGGCCTCCCGTTAGCTCTTAATCTTATAGGTTCTCATCTGCGTGGTAAAAATATAGTTCGTTGGCAAGATATTTTGGATAGTTACGATGAAGAACCTCATAGAGGGATTCAAAGAGTACTTCGGAAAAGTTATGATACCTTGGAATATGTCCAACAACAACTTTTCCTAGACATTGCATGCTTCTTCAAGGGTGAAGATAAAGACAAAGTGTTACAGATATTAAAAGGATCAAATCTCAAAGTACGTCAACATTGTATTGATGTTCTCGTTGAGAATGCCATTATAACTATTGAACATAATAGGATTTTGATGCATGACTTGCTAGAACAAATGGGTAAGCATATAGTTTGGGAAGAATCGCCCACTGAACCAGACAAGCGGAGCAGATTGTGGCTTCCTAAAGATGTGTACCGTGTTCTAACTGAAAACAGAGTAAGTAGAATATATGTTCTTGCATTTGATTTAATTGGCATGATTTTGGAAACACAAAAAAAATTAAAATCCTTTTGATTTCTTTGTTATATGATTTGTTTGTTAACACTATTTATTTTTCCATCTTAGGGAACAAAGAAAATTAAAGGCATTGTGGTGAAGTTGCCCGTGCCAGATGTGATACCCTTGAATACAAAAAGCTTTTCCAAGATGGTAAATCTTGAATTTTTTATAATTCGTAATGCACACTTTTCTGAATGCGTTGAGGATTTACCCGACGATTTGAGGTGGATTGAATTCGGTGGGCTTCATTACTGGGGATCCAATATTCTTCAAAAGCATATACTTACATTCAATTTGCAATCCAATTGTCATATCAGAAATCTTGTCACGTTTATTATGCCAAACAGTGACATCAAACAATTGAAGGTGTTTCAGGTATGTATACTTATTATAAATGAATTTGGACAATTACTAATTTAATTGTATATTTTATTTTTGGAAAAAGAAATTTGCCAAAGCTTTTCATTGTTAATTATTCTATTTAAAGTTTGTGATTTTTTTTTCTTTTGATTTTGATTTCACAGATTTGGCAATGCTTACATCTTTGAATTTAAGTGGTTCCCAATTCTTAGAAAAAATTCCCAACTTATCCGGAAGTCCAAACCTAAAGAAGTTGATTCTAAATGAGTGTAACCGTTTAGTTGAAGTTGATGATTCTGTTGGATTCCTTGATAAACTTAATAGATTAAGTCTTAATGGGTGCTCTAGGCTTGAGAGATTTGCGACGAGACTTAGATTGAGATCCCTTCGTAGACTTACTCTTTATGGTTGTACAAGGCTCAAGAGTTTCCCAGAAATAGAGGCCGAGATGGAATCTCTATATGATTTGGACATATCAAAAAGTGGCATAAGAGAATTGCCTTCATCAATTGCATATCTTACCGGGCTTAAATTTTTGTCGGCAAGTTATTGTGAGAACCTTACAGGTACATCCTTACATCACAGTTATGGGTTGCAACATCTCTACCGTATTGAAATGATTAGATGCCCAAAACTGGTGACATTTGGGAAGTTTTCAACTCGCTTAGACACTTCACATTACAACGGTATCCCATTAGCCATTTTCAACGCATGCAAGCTTTATCTTGTTGAATGCAATTTATCAGAAAGTGATTTCCTTGTGCCTCTTCAATATGAACCATCCAGTCTTCATTGCTGGTCCACATTAATAGAACTTGGTCTGTCGGGAAACAATTTTGTTAGTCTTCCGGAATGCATTAGCAAATTTGTCAACTTGGAAATACTTTGGTTGACTGGTTGCAAGAGGCTTCGGGAAATTCCACATGCCCTTCCACCAAATCTAAGGGAATTATATCTGAATGATTGCACATCATTGGAGAAAATTCCAAAGTTGCCCTCGGGGCTTAGGTGTCTGCAGTTGACTAATTGCTTTGGACTAAGTGGCGATGAGGTGGCAAAGTTGGAAAATAATTTGTTGAACTGGAATCAGGTTCGTCTCTCCTCTCTTAATTTCTCTTGAAATTAAAATATTTAATTTGTTGATACTTGGGAGGGAGAACAGATCATGATTGTTTGTAGTTATTTACGTATTATTCACTATTGCAGGAATTTCTTCGGTGCTCTCAATTGCAAGTTACGTATCCAGGCGATGAAATTCCAAAGCGGTTTAGCTATACCTCTAAACATCTAACAGCCACTAGGATTGAAAGTGTAGGAAAAGGTACAAGGCAACATGATTATGTTGGAGGTGGTGAATTTAGTTTTGAAATTTCTCTAAATTTACAGGAGAGGGAGACGTTATTAGGATTGGCTCTATCTTGTGTTTTTCCACCACAATTGACTGGAGGGATTTGTTATTACTACAATCTTCGTCTTTACATCAACGAAGCAAGTGATTATCAACAATTTAGGTGGATAGTGGAAGGCAAGGAGGCTCATGTGGGGCTAGTGTTAGTGGATTTAGAGAACCAGGGAGAAAGCCCATGTGGGGCTCATGTTAGTGGAGATATTTGTAAAGTTAAAGTTCAATATCCCAACTACTCGAGCATTAAAAGCTGCGGGGTGCAGCCCCTATTGCGCAAAGGAGATGAACGGCTTCCCTCGTCTTTGGAACCAACGAGTAGCCTTGGATCCTCAGATATCGTCAATGATGAATATGATCGGCAACAACAATGGCCTTCCTTATCTTTGAACCCAGCGGATGATCATCCGACACACACACAGATTGATCACAATGTTCCTTCTGATATTGAGGAGGAGCAAGAGCAACCGTCCACCATTTCTGATTTACTAGGAGTTTGGGTACGTACATTTCAGTTTTAGCCATTTTTTTATTATTCTTTATTGTGATATCTTTTTTAAATTAATATAATAATAATTAATTAATTTAAATTAAATAAAGGAAAAAATTTGAACAGTTTGCAATCTGCATAATCAAAGATTTCATATCTTTAGAAACAAAGATTTCATATCTGCAGGTGGTTAGGCCATCTCCAACCGATAGCTGGTCAGAGGGTTCGTTTTAACCATCTGGCCCTCCAAGATTCTTCAAGATATTAATATTTTAATGAACAGTACATGACCATATTTGCCTCCGTCTCCAACCGAGGGTCATAGGGCCAAACATAATTTATTATTTAAAAACTACAACTTAAATTCAAATCCAACGGCTAAGTGACAAATTTAATTTAATGTTGTTTCATGTTACTTAATTTAATTTAATGTTGTATAATGGCTTAGGAAGTTATAGGAAAAAAATAGAATTTAAAAAAAATATGAAACAAATTTTGTGAAATAGAAGTTATAGAAAAAAATGGAGTTTAAAAAAAAATATGAAACAAGTTTTGTGAAATAAAAGTTATAGGAAAAAAAATAGAATTTAAAAAAAATATGAAACAAATTTTGTGAAATAGAAGTTACAGGAAAAAAATGGAATTTAAAAAAAATATGAAATAAATTTTGTGAAATAGAAGTTAAAGGAAAAAATTGAAGTTGTATGAAATTTTTTGTGAAATAGAAGTTATAGGAAAAAATAGAAGTTATAGAAAGTTATAGGAAAAAATAGAAGTTATATGAAAATTTTTGTAAATAAAAAATAATAATAAAAATGTAAAAAAAAATATATATCAAATGAAACCCAACGGCTAGCTGAGTCAGCTAGCCGTTATATTAAAAAAAATTCCAAACTATTAGTGTCGGTTATAATTGACACTAATAGTAAATAAATAAAAAAATTTGCCTATGAATACCTATTACTGTCGGTTATAACCCACAGTATTAAAAAATTCTTCTTTAATGTTGTCGGTTATATCTGACAGCAATAGGGAAACTATAAAAAAAAAAATAGCCAGCCCGGGGCTGGCTGGCCGAAAGCAGCCAGCCCTTTGGCCCTTTGAAATTCCGTGGGGCCCTCCCAGATTCCAGAGCCCTCGGTTGGAGACGGTTTTAGGGCTATTTTCGGCCCTCTGGCCCTCTGGACCCTTCGGTTGGAGATGGCCTTAGTTCTTAGAAAAACAGAAACCACATTTGTGTCTTGATGTACCTTTTACTGATAAAATCAAATTCTAATTAATCAAAACAAACAATTATGGAAGGAAAATATACAAGGGGAAATGAGATTATAAGTACAAAATTCAAGATTAATTACCTAAAAACTTGGTTTTGTTCGTATAAGTACAAAATTTCTACACGAAGATCAAAGAACTACATCGTTTGGATGAACATGTAAACCACATGCTTCTCTCTCTGTTAATTAAGTTTACACGCAGAGATGGAAGTCTTGTAGGACTACTGTTTAATCAAGAGTCCCAGGTTTGCAACTATTTTTTTATTAGCATTTACTTCTGCTTTTTTAATTAATGAATAGGTGGAAATTTGATTCGGTGTTGATTATAAGATTTAGTAGAATTTTAATATCAAGAGGAGATAACAATGTAGAAAACATAGCCCCTTGAATCAACTTGATTGATCTCGACCCTCATGATCTCACGGGTCTCGGCCTGCTTCGGTTGTTTAAATTTCTGGTGTAAGCCAAGAAAGTGAACTCATTAATGTTGCTGCTCTAGTTAGTCAGCCTGCTTTTTCTGACAAGCCTGCGGTCTCTTTATGTTCCACCATGGGAAGCTGGGAGTGAAGCGTGCATTAGTTGTTGGAATTGGACTTCAAATTCTTCAACAGGTTTGGTAGAAAAAGTTAAAAGGAAAATTTTATTTAAAACCATGTAACTTTTTTTCTACACTCCTCAGGTGTATGAGCAGGCCCGCGTCGCCATTCTTCTATCTAACATAGGGTTGAATCCAACATTTGCATCTCTCTTCGTAAGTGCCATTACAATTGTCTTAATGGATATAGCTGGCAGAAGATAATTTCGAACACCTTCGGTTTCCTAGAACCGATTACTAACTTTTAATCAAAATTATAACTAGGGTAAATTATCCAAACGATAAAATAAAGTTTAGTGTCACTCCATTTCCATTTTAGACTAAAAGTTTGTAACCGGTTCTATCTATATGCATATTTGCAAAAAATAAGCTTTCCTTTTTGCCTTTCTTGGTATGCCGGTCGCTGCTGCTCTCCACATTACATTGTCCCTCACTCTTCTTGTAGTTGCCAACATTGTCAACTTGGGAACTGTTCTGAATGCAACAATTTCCACCGCCGTGCCTGCTGCTTCGTCATGGCATTTGGAGTAACCCCGAACATTCTCTGCGCTGAGATCATCCCTACGAGCATCCACGACCTCTGCATTGCCATCTGAGCCCTCACATTCTGGATTGGAGACATCATCATCACTTACGCATTTCCTGTCATGCTCTTCTCCGTTGGATTTGCTGGCATCTTGGGAATCTATGTTGTCCGGTGCATTGTTCCTGGATATTTGTTTACTTGAAGGTGCCTGAAACTAAAGACATGCCTCTTGAAGTTAGCTGCTGCTGATGCATCTGTTGGATTCCAATGATAACTGATTTGATTGTTCAGAGGATTTGAAAGTTTGGTTTGGCTTTAGACTGGGATTACGAGGACAGGATTTGAGTTGGAAAAAGTGCTGATGACTGGATTGCATTTTTAGAAAGTGATTTTGTAATCATCACTATCCCTCACTTAATTCTGCACCAGTATCTTTGGTACCAAAAAATCAATTCTCTTGGGTCATAAGCTCATAAGTGACATGTTTTGTTCGACTATTTGCCTCACTTAATATTAATTTGACCTGCCTACTTTAACTATTTATTTATACAAATATTTGTACTATCTTTCTAATAGAGATAAGACGTATATATATTTGCGAGCCGTACTTCTATTAGAAAAATTATATGTAAATAGATGATAAATGTAGCATTACTATTTTTATAATATGTTTTAAAATTTTGAAAAAAAAAAAAAAGGAACTGTTTTTAACTGCAGGCCTAAAGCAGAGCCCTGTTGCCGCCTAGCAATAGAAAAGTCTTCACCAAATTGAGTTAGAAGAATTAGGGTTTTAGAGCTCCAAAGATCCAAACTTTATCAGTCTCTCCGAAAGTAATTAGAGAAATGGAAACCCAATCAAAGGACGGAGACTCTCTGGAGAAGCGGCCCGGCATCTTCTTCCTCGGCTCCCCCGGCGTCGTCGAACGCTCTCTCATTTCCCGTATGCTCTCTATCTTTCTCTCTCCTTTGGTCGATGCTAAATTCATGACCTCTTGATTTCTAGGCTTACTGGATTTGAATTTTTGACGATGCTTCTGATTATTCATCGTCATCTCAGCTGGTAGTTGATGGGTATGTAAAATTTGAATTTTGGGATCAAAGAATTCAACTCTTAGAAATTTTGGGAACAAACAATTCGTTTTGAATTCTTTTGAAATGTGTATTTTGATGATTTTTGTTGTAAAGAAATAGATGGAATATCTCTACAAATTACTACACAGCTGGTGTTTTGGTATGGATGGCTCATCTCCATGACGAATTTTTTGCAGAGGCCCTCCCAATGTATGAGCAGTTGGCTGCCTTGATCTTGGTTTTCGACACAACTGAGGTTTTGGTCTCTTGCCACTCACTCTTTGTCACTTTGTTTACTTGTTTATCATGATTTTCAATGTGTCTTATATCAATTTGCTCTCATTATGCTGCAGTTGTCGTCTCTGTCTGCGCTTAAGAAATGGGTATCTCAAACTGATCTTCAAAAGTTCGATATACTAGTATGCGTAGGGAATAAGGTTGATCGTGTTCCGGGTCACCCGGTTCATGCCGAATATAGAAGACGACTGCAGAAGCTTGGAGACCCGTTTGCTGATGCCGGTCCAGGGTTCACTGCGTAGGGAATCTCCGAGACTGAAGGAAGCAGGTTTATTGGGGGATGACGAACCATTTTGGGAGGCAAGGCACACATGTTTGGAATGGTGCACTGAGCATAACATTGAGTTCGTCGAAGGTTGTGCTTCAAATGCTGATTTTGACAGATGTAAGGTAGCCCTTCTTTCTGACTTGTAGTTTATGGCAAGTTTTATACGAACGTGAAAAATAAAAAGTATGCTGCTCGAGGGTAGAAACGTCGTGCAATTAGGATGATTGAAGATAGATCGAAGGTAGCCCTTCTTTTTGGCTGTTCCGATCACATCCTTCTTGGGTAAACTAAAAGAGAATTGACGGTAGAAATGAATGCACTTTGGTATGTGTTGAATCTTTATCGATCCCTCTTTTTTTAATGTTTAACAATTGAACTCATTAATATTAAAATAGATAAAAATGATAAAAAGAGTACGAACAAAAAAAATCTTAAATGCTTTTGTTGCAGTCTTTCAAGTTAATTGTGTATTTTCATGCATTTTAACCTTTGTATGTACATAATTGATTTGTCATACGGTCATAGTAGCTTGACATCGTTTATGTGTCATGGGGTGAAAAGAACATGTGCTTCAATAACAAACAAAAAAAAAATGAAAATTGTTTGAAATTTTTGAGTTTTCATGATAAGGACAAAATAAAGGATAAAGTGAATAGTATCAAGATTGACTTTTTAGTATAAATTATTTTCTCATTTGTGATAGAAAAAATCACCTTAAATGACTCACCTTTCTTCATGTATGTGACATTATTTATATGGTTCAAAATGACACAAACCGGATATAAATAATGTGGGGGTGTGGTTAAGGAAAAAATGCATTATTACTTTGGTAACTTAGAAACCACCTATTGTTGGTGAAACCAGAATTTTCCTAACATTTACTCACTGATGTTATCGTTTTGTAAAAAAATAAAGATAAACTCTGCACCTCCATCCTTTTTTCAACGCACTGCATATTCCTCTGCTTTTCTCTTGTTTTTATTTTTTTATTTTTTTTCTCGTTACGAAAATGAAAATTATCCAAAAAGAATGGTATTAGCTATTCCCCATCCTAAATGGAAGCGTGAAGGGATGAGATAGGGAATGGGACCCTGACAAAGACTGATAATAGTATTAGTAATTAGTCTTCGGTAGTTCAAAGACGACCGTGGAACCAAGTTTGAATGCACACCTCCCTTTTTTTTTTATTCTTGAATTAAAAAAATCAAAAAGGAAAATTAATAGGTTGAAATAAAAATAAAAATTAAGTACAAAAGAAGGAAACGGTGTGAAGAAAGTCACTCTACAATACGTAATACTTTTGTTACATTTTTGAAAGTCAATTGCATGTTGCCGTGCATTTTAATTTTTGAGTATAGAATACTTGATATATTGTCAATTAATCATCTGTATTTTGTCAATTAGTGTTTGGAGCCTATGGATCCTTTAATTTGAGACGTACAAATTGAATTCAACCGTCTTCATTAATTCATTTTCCTGACCCATCGCACACAACTAACGGTCTTGATTTGATTTGCACATCAATCAACGGTCCAAATTAAAGGATCTATAGGCTCCAGACATTAACATCCAAAACGGATCCAATTCCTAAAAAAATTGATCGCGTACCAAACTCCCACAAAGAGGATCCGGATCCTCTTCCTATCATGTTGATATCGTGGAGCAAAAGGTAATAGTCAGCAAACGAAGTTGATAGGATAGGGGTACTGTGATTGATACAAGTGAAGACGACGAGGGATAAAGTGATACTTTCGTGCTAGTTCCGAGGACATTTTGGTAACTAAGCCTTTATATTTACTACTCGATTTGATTTATAATTAATACTCTTTTTGGGTGTCGTATCGTTCTCTCTCTCAAACACTAATTACAATTTGCAGCTCGTAGCTGAAATGGGGTCCCTTTTTTCTTTATATGCAATTGTATTTCATTACTTCTCTTGTATTTTTCCTCAGCACTGAAAAAAAAAAGGGAAAATTGTTTTCATACAAAAATTGTCCGAAAGGAATCGTTTTAGCTGTTCCCATCTGTCTAATATAAAAGTCCTAACAAAGACTGACAATAGTAACCTGGGGCTGGTAAAAAAAAGTTGTGTCAAAATCGCTACCCAGAAAATTGTCCGGAAGGAATCTTTTTATCACGTTCACATTGAAGGTGGTAGGAAACTGCTGCTTCCTACATGGGCAGAAAATCATGCGAAAGGCCTGATATATACGACAAGAGCGAATTCTTGGTGCGAGTACCAGTCCAGCATCCATACTCAATTCTTTGAAAGGCTCTTCCATTTACCTGGATTTCTCCAATGAACAATCAACTTGTCTCTTCTTCTTCCTTCAGCAGTCCTCCTTCGTGGGAGTACGATGTCTTTTTGAGCTTTAGAGGAGAGGATACACGAACCAATTTTACAGATCACTTTTACAAGGCGTTGGACGACAAGGCAATCACCACGTTCATTGATCACCAGCTTAAAAGAGGAGAAGAAATATTTCCGGCTCTTCTCGAAGCAATTGAAGAGTCGAGAATTTCGATCATTGTATTCTCTGAAAACTATGCATCGTCAAGATGGTGCTTGGATGAGCTTGTACATATCCTTGAATGTAGAAAGTCAAGGAAGCAAATTGTTTTGCCAGTTTTTTACAAAGTGGATCCGTCCGATGTACGAAAGCAAACGAGTAGTTTTGGTGACGCGTTTACAGAAAAGTTCAAATTTGAAGACAACAAGGAGAAGATCCTCACATGGAGGAGTGCTCTTACAGATGCAGCAAGTTTGTCAGGATATACTTTCAAAGAGGGAGAGTACGTATATTTCTTTCCCTTATACTGCCTTTAATCTGAAAAGATGATTTCATCTGAAATTCAATTTTCTTTACGTAAAACCCAACCTAGTTTTTGTGCTTGACTAATTAAGCTTAACAAGTTAGATTTTATATCTTTCGGTTTCCTAAAATACCCCTAATAACAATTTGATTCTCTTGCATATTTATATCCATTTATTGTGTTAAACCTATTGCAAGTTAAATGGTCATTATTAATTGTGTTAAATTTCGAATTGGCTGGATTAATTACCCGAGTGTACCCATTTTTTGTTGTTCAAATTTTAAATTTATTAATATTTTTTGGTTTCCTAATTTTGTTTGAAAAATCAATTTACCTACGTTTTTGAAAAATTAATTTACATATTACTTATTTTGATTAATAATGTACCTGTGGTGTTGTTTATAATTTACCGATTACTAATGATGTTAGGTAAATTAGTACTTTTATGAAAGAAATGATACATATCCATCCAAAACATCTTTTTTCATCCGAACAACAACATAACATTTAAATGCAAAAAAAAGGTCCATGTCTTATTATTATTATTTTAACAAAAGGAAATAAAAAACAGTCAATGTCCTAAGTATGGAAAGATGTTAGGATTTTACAGAGTAATAAACGGCAATGTGAAATTGTGAATAATGAAATAGGGGTAAATCATTTTTATTAATGGGTCAATTATTATCTTACATGATTCTGTATTTAGTTGCAAGCGGCTCATGCTTGACTGCATCAGTGATTATCCATACCTCTGTTTTTTTTCAATCTTTTTTATCTATTCATTCTCTTCTTCTTTTTACCTTTTTTTCTTTTTTCAAAGAAATATAGCAGAAAAAGTTGATTAGCTAAATGTGTCAATTTTGTTATATAAACTGGTAGGTATGAAGCTACATTTATCAGTAAGATCGTGGAGGAGATCTTCGTCCCCGTACAACAATGCACGCATTTGAAGGTAGCCAATTACCCAGTTGGAATGGAGTCTTGTGTAGAAAAGGTGAAAGAGCTTTTAGGTGTCAGTGGAAATGATCCGTGTGTGGTTGGGATTTGGGGGTCATCTGGAATCGGCAAGACAACAGTTGCAAAAGCTGTTTATAATGCAATTGCTTATGAGTTTGAAGGTAGTTGTTTCCTGGCAGATGTTCGAGAAACGTCAATACAATACGGAGGCCTACTCCAACTACAAAACACTCTTCTGAGTGAGATTGGTGGTTCAGAGTGGAAAGCTGTCAATCTTCATAGAGGAAACATTCTTATAAAGAAACTGTTGAGGGGAAAGAAGATTCTCTTAATTCTTGATGATGTGGATGATTTTGAGCAGTTAGACAACTTGGTTGAAGTCCATCAGTTAGGTGAGGGTAGCAGAGTGATCATAACCACAAAAAATAAAGGATTGCTAGAATCTTGTAAAGTTGAGCTGATATACAAGGTCCAAAAGTTAGAAGACAACAAAGCTATTGAGCTTTTTAGTTGGAATGCCTTCGGAAAAGAAAAACCTCCAGATGTTTATTTGGGACTCGCACGACGTGCAATAGCCTATGCTCAAGGCCTCCCGTTAGCTCTTAATCTTATAGGTTCTCATTTGCGTGGTAAAAATATAGTTCGTTGGCAAGATATTTTGGATAGTTACAATGAAGAACCTCATAGAGGGATTCAAAGAGTACTTCGGAAAAGTTATGATACCTTGGAATATGTCCAACAACAACTTTTCCTAGACATTGCATGCTTCTTCAAGGGTGAAGTTAAAGACAAAGTGTTACAGATATTAAAAGGATCAAACCTCAAAGTACGTCAACATTGTATTGATGTTCTCGTTGAGAATGCCATTATAACTATTGAAGATAATAGGATTTTGATGCATGACTTGCTAGAACAAATGGGTAAGCATATAGTTTGGGAAGAATCGCCCACTGAACCAGGCGAGCGGAGCAGATTGTGGCTTCCTAAAGATGTGTACCGTGTTCTAACTAAAAACAGAGTAAGTAGAATATATGTTCTTGCATTTGATTTAATTGGCATGATTTTGGAAACACAAAAAAAATTAAAATCCTTTTGATTTCTTTGTTATATGATTTGTTTGTTAACACTATTTATTTTTCCATCTTAGGGAACAAAGAAAATTAAAGGCATTGTGGTGAAGTTGCCCGTGCCAGATGTGATACCCTTGAATACAAAAAGCTTTTCCAAGATGGTAAATCTTGAAATTTTTATAATTCGTAATGCACACTTTTCTGGATGCGTTGAGTATTTACCCGACGATTTGAGGTGGATTGAATTCGGTGGGCTTCATTACTGGAGATCCAATATTCTTCAAAAGCATATACTTACATTCAATTTGCAATCCAATTGTCATCTAAGGAATTTTGTCACGTTTATTATGCCAAACAGTGACATCAGACAATTGAAGGTATTTCAGGTATGTATATGTATTATAAATTAATTTGGACAATTACTAATTTAATTGTATATCTTATTTTTGGAAAACGAAATTTGCCAAAGCTTTTCATCATTAATTATTCTATTTAAAGTTTGTGATTTTTGTTTCATTTGATTTTGATTTCACAGAATTTGGCAAACCTTACATCTTTGAATTTAAGTGGTTCCGAATTCTTAGAAAAAATTCCCAACTTATCCGGAAGTCCAAACCTAAGGGAGTTGATTCTAGATGAGTGTAAACGTTTAGTTGAAGTTGATGATTCTGTTGGATTCCTTGATAAACTTGTTACATTAAGTCTTGTTGGGTGCTCTAGGCTTGAGAGATTTGCGAGGAGACTTAGATTGAGATCCCTTCAAAGACTTTATTTTGGTGGTTGTACAAGGCTCAAGAGTTTCCCAGAAATAGAGGTCGAGATGGAATCCCTACGGGTTTTGAACATAACAAAAAGTGGCATAAGAGAATTGCCTTCATCAATTGCATATCTTACTGGGCTTAAGCACTTGTGGGCAATGGGTTGTGAGAACCTTACAGGTACATCATTACATCACATTTATGGGTTGCAACGTCTCCATTATATTGAAATGAGTCGATGCCCAAAACTGGTGACATTTGGGAAGTTTTCAACTTGCTTAGATACTTCACATGACAACGGTATCCCATTAGCCCTTCCCAACGTAGGCTATCTTTTTCTTAATGGATGCAATTTATCAGAAAGTGATTTCCACGTGCCTTTTCATTGCTTGTCCAAATCAATAAGAGTTTATATGGGGGGAAACAATTTTGTTAGTCTACCTGAATGCATTAGCAAATTTGTTAACTTGGAAGCACTTTGTTTGACTGGTTGCAAGAGGCTTCGGGAAATTCCACATGCCCTTCCACCAAATCTAAGAGATTTATATCTGGATTATTGCACATCATTGGAGAAAATTCCAAAGTTGCCCTCGAGGCTTAGGTGTCTGGAGTTGACTAATTGCTTTAGAATAAGTGGTGATGAGGTGGCAAAGTTGGAAAATAATTTGTTGAACTTGAATCAGGTTCGTCTCTCCCCTCTTAATTTCTCTTGAAATTAAAATATATAATTTGTTGATACTTGGGAGGGAGAACAGATCACGATTGTTTGTAATTAGTTATTTACATATTATTCACTATTGCAGGAATCTCATCGGTGCTCTCAATTGCAAGTTACATATCCAGGCGATGAAATTCCAAAACGGTTCAGCTATACCTCTAAACATCTAACAGCCACTAGGATTGAAGGTGGAATATATAATGCATGGCAACAAGCATATGTTGGAGGTAGTGAATTTAGTTTTGAAATTCCTCTAAATTTACAGGAGAGGGAGATGTTATTAGGATTGGCTCTATCTTGTGTTTTTCCACCACTGCCTTTATCAGAATTGGGATATCGTTACGTTATTCGTATTCTCATCAACAAAGCAAGTGATTATAAAGAATTTGAGTTGGATGGGAAATTCATGGAGAAAGCTCATGTGGGGCTCATGTTAGTGGATTTAGAAAAGAAGCAGGGAGATATTTGTAAAGTTAAAATTCAATTCCCCGAAGGGGCAGGCATTAAAATCTGCGGGGTGCACCCCTTATTCCGCAAAGAAGATGAACGACTTCCCTTGTCTTTGGGACCAACGAGTAGTCTTGGATCCTCAGATATCATCGATGATGAATATGATTGGCAACAACAATGGCCTTCCTTATCTTCGAACCCAGCGGATGATCATCCCAAACGCACGCAAATTGATCACAATGTTCTTTCTGATATTGAGGAGGAGCAAGAGCAACCGTCCATAGTTTCTTGGGTACGTACATTTCAGTTTTAGCGATTTTTTTATTATTCTTTATTGTGATATCTTTTTTAAATTAATATAATAAAAATTAATTAATTTAAATTAAATACAGGAAAAAATTTGAACAATTTTCAATCTGCATAATCAATGATTTCATATCTTTAGAAACAAAGATTTCATATCTGTAGGTGGTTAGGCCATCTCCAATCGGGTCCAGAGAATCAGAAGGCCGAAAATAACCCGAAAACCATCTCTAATCGAGGACTAGGCCAGAGGGCCAACCAGCTGGCCATCTTCAACCAGCCAACCAGCCCACTTGCTAGCCCATTTTGTCTTCTTTTTTTTGTTTTTTCAGCCCACTTTAGGTTTAAGGATTAGGAATTTTTTTTGTCCCAGTTCCTTTTTTTTTTTTTTAACATCCCAATTTTTTTTGGACGATTTTTTTGTTTAAATTTCTAATTTTTTTCCTACACCATTTCTCACATATTTTTCATCATTCCATACTATCTTATCTTATTTTATTTTAATTCTTCACATTCCATACTATAGCCCTTTGGCCCTTGGTTGGAGATGGTTTTTTTGTGACATGACTAAAACGAGCTCTCTGGTCCTTTGGCCTCTGGTTGGAGATGAAGGCAAATATGGTCATGTACTGTTCATTAAAATATTAATATCTTGGAAGGCCAGAGGGCTAAAACGAGCCCTCTGGCCAACCTTCGGTTGGAGATGACCTTAGTTATTAGAAAAACATAAACCACATTTGTATCTTGAAGTACCTTTCACTGATAAAATCAAATTCTAATTAATCAAAACAAACAATTATGGAAGGAAAATATACAAGGAGAAATGAGATTCTAAGTACAAAATTCAAGATTAATTACCTAAAAACTTGGTTTTGTTCATATAAGTACAAAATTTCTACACGAAGATCAAAGAACTACATTGTTTGGATGAACATGTAAACCACATGCTTCTCTCTCTGTTAATCAAGTTTACACGCAGAGATGGAAGACTTGTAGGACTACTGTTTAATCAAGAGTCAAGGTTTGCAACTATTTTTTTATTAGCATTTACTTCTGCTTTTTCAATGAATGAATAGGTGGAAAATTTGATTTGGTGTTGATTAATAAGATTTAGTAGAATTTTAATATCAAGAGGAGATAACAATGTAAAAAACATAGCCGCTTGAATCAACTTGATTGATCTCGACCCTCATAATCTCACAGGTCTCGGCCTGCGTCGGTTGTTTAAATTTCTGGTGTAAGCCAAGAAAGTGAACTCATTATACTGCTGCTCTAGTTACTAGTTAGTCAGCCTACTGTTTCTGCCAAGGAACCGATAAGTCTGCGCTCTCTTTGTGTTCCACCATCGGAAGCTGGGAGTGAAGCGTGCTGCGTGCATTAGTTGTTGGAATTGGACTTCAAATTCTTCAACAGGTTTGGTAGAAAAAGTTAAAAAGGGAAATTTTATTTAAACCCATGTAACTTTTTTTCTGCACTCCTCAGGTGTATGAGCAGGCCGGCGTCGCCGTTCTTCTATCTAACATAGGGTTGAATCCGACATCTGCTTCTCTCTTCGTAAGTGTCATTACAACTTTCTTAATGGATATAACTGGCAGAAGATAATTTCGAACACATTCGGTTTCCTAGAACCAATTACTAACTTTTAATCAAAATTATAATTAGGGTACACTATACAAACGATAAATTACAGTTTAGTGTCCCTTATGGTTTATTTAGTGTCCCTCCAGTTTCAATTTAGACTAAAAATTTGTAACCGATTTTATCTGCATATTTGCGGAAAATAAGCTTTCCTTTTTGCCTTTCTTGGTATGCAGGTCGCTGCTGCTCTCCACATTATATTGTCCCTCACTCTTCTTGTAGTTGCCAACATTGTCAACTTGGGAACTGTTCTGAATGCAACAATCTCCACCGCCGTGCTTGCTGCTTTGTCATGGCATTTGGAGTAACCCCGAACATTCTCTGCGCATAGATCATCCCAACGAGCATCGGAGCATCCACGGCCTCTGCATTGCCATCTGTGCCCTCACATTCTGGATTGGAGACATCATCATCACTTACGCATTTCCTGTCATGCTCTCCTCCGTTGGATTTGCTGGCATCTTGGGAATCTATGTTGTCGGGTGCATCGTTCCTGGATATTTGTTTACTTGAAGGTGCCTGAAACTAAAGGCATGCCTCTTGAAGTTAGCTGCTGCTGATGCATGTGTTGGATTCCAATGATGACTGATTTGATTGTTTAGGGGGTTTGAAAGTTTGGTTTGGCTTTAGAGCATCTCTAAAGGAGATGTCAAAAGATAAATTTTAAATGTTAATTTGATGGTTGACGTGACAATGTCAGATTTTCTCTACTTCCCACCGATATGTTTTTTTGTTATAAATGATGTTTGTAGGACCCATATTAAAAAAAATCAATTAAAATATATTTCGAAGATCTATAATTGGTGCATTAATGGGATCCACATAATAAAATAATAAAAAATGATTTGACATCACATTTTCTCATATGTTAAATTTGACATAGGAAAACTCATATGTCAATCCACATAAGATTGATATATAGGTTGGAGCTTACTTTTACTTCAAGTTTGATTACATGATATTTCACTTAAGATTTGACATCTCATTTGGAGATAGTCTTAGACTGAGATTATGAGGACATGATTTGAGTTGGAAAAAGTGCTGATGACTGGATTGCATTTTTAGAAAGTGATTTTGTAATCATCACTATCCCTCAGGTATCGTTTGGTATGCAGACAGGACGGAACGGAATAGGACTAGACGGGACAGGACGGGATGGAACAAAGAGGGAGCAAAGATGTCATTGGATGGAAACAATGAGGAAGAAGAAGGAGACAGAGAGGTTATAATTTTGTGTTCCACAGATGTGGGACGAGTTGTTCCATGGGATGAGGCGGAACGAAAATTCACCCAAAATTCGTCCCGTGGAACAACGCGTTCCACCCGTTTTAGGCGCACCAAACGTGGGACGGAACGCTTCGTTCCACTCCGTTCCGTCCTGTCCTACGTACCAAACGGTACCTCACTTAATGTTGCAGAAGTATATTTGGTACCAAAAAATCAATTATTTTGGGTCATAAGATCATAAGTGACATGTTTTGTTTGACTATTTGCACCACTTCTTATAAACTTGAAATACCCCTTTAAGCATATTCCAAAATACTGATTGAAGTTTTAAAAAAGTCTACCACCCTTGGATTTCCAAATGATTTTTATCAATATGTTTGGTAGTTGCACTTATCTTTTCCTGTTCAAGTAGACATATTTTGATACGAATATTGTTAGAGACGCTCTTACTAATTATGATGATCATATACCAAATAACTCAATATAGATCATGAAAGTTCTTACTGAAGTACAGTCTAATTTTTGTTAGTTGTGAAACTAATCAAAATCAAATTACTTTTCTGACATATTTTTTTACAAATTCGTGTCTAATACAAATTCGTGTTTACAAGCCGTACATCTATTAGAAAAATTATATACAAATATATGATAAATGTAACACTATTATTTTTATAATATTTTTTTAAAATTTTGAAGAACGAAAATAAAAGAAAAGAAAAGAAACTGTTTTTAACTGCAGGTCTAAGGCAGAGCCCTGTTGCCGCTTAGCAATAAAAAAGACTGCTGAGAAGGTCAGTCATCGTCTTCAGCCTTCACCAAATTGAGTTAGAAGAATTAGGGTTTTAGAGCTGCAAAGATCCAAACTTTATCAGTCTCTCCGAAAGTAATTAGAGAAATGGAAACCCAATCGAAGGACGGAGGACTCTCTGGAGAAGCGGCCCGGCATCTTCTTCCCTCGGCTCCCCCAGCGTCGGCTAACGCTCTCTCATTTCCCGTAAGCTCTCTCTCTCTCTCTTTCTCTCTCCTTTGACTGATACTAAATTCATGACCTATTGATTTGTAGGATTACTAGGTTTGGATTTAGACGATGCTTCTGATTCTTCATCGTCATCTCAGCTGGTAGTTGATGGGTATATAAAATTTTGAATTTTGGGATCAAAGAATTCAACTCTTAGGAATTTTGGGAACAAACAATTCGTTTTGAATTCTTTTGAAATGTGAATTTTGATGATTTTTGTGGTGAAAAAAAAAGAAAGATGGAATATCTCTACAAAGTACTACACAGCTGGTGTTTCAGTATGGATGGCTCATCACCATGACGAATTTTTGATAGTCCCTCCCAACGTATGAGCAGTTGGCTGCCTTAATATTGGTTTTCAACACAACTGAGTTTCGGTCTCTTGCCACTCACTCTTTGTCCCTTTGTTTACTTGTTTAGCATGATTTTCAATGTGTCTTATATCAATTTGCTCGCGTTATGCTGCAGTTGTCGTCTCTGTCTGCGCTTCAGAAATGGGTATCTCAAACTGATCTTCAAAAGTTCGATAGACTAGTGTGCATAGGGAATAAGGTTGATCTTGTTCCGGGTCACCCAGTTCATACCGAATATAGAAGACGACTGCAGAAGCTTGGAGACCCATTTGCTGATGACGGTCCAGGGTTCACTGCGTATGGAATCTCCGAGACTGAAGGAAGCAGTTTATTGGGGGATGATGAGCCATATTGGGAGGCTAGGCACACATGTTTGGAATGGTGCAATGAGCATAACATTGAGTTTGTTGAAGCTTGTGCTTCAAATGCTGATTTTGACAAATGTAAGGTAGCCCTTCTTTCTGACTTCTTGTTTATGGCAAGTTTTATACGAAGGTGAAAAATAAAAAGTACCCTGTTCGAAGGTAGAAACGTCGTGCAATTAGGATGATTGAAGATAGTTCGTCACTCAGGATTTGATGAATTTTTACCCATTGGGACATTTGAAGGTGTAGGAAACTTTATTTCAGGGTCTATTTCACAAGGTAAAGGATGACCACAATCAACAATTTTTAAGGACATGCCTTTGTATCATGAGTCCTTGTACGCTGGAGAAGTCTAGGGAGAAGTAGGACCTTCACGTCGTGTATGCCTGAATAGGACATGGCAGACTATTACCTAAGTTCATGTGTCGGCTTCAATATTAGAAAGAGTTGGTTAGCCTGAGAAAATGAATAAAAGTGATATCGTGATAAATCAGCACGTCGATCGTACGGCACACAAATTTCCTGCTTTGTTGGATATCTTTTAAGTTTAAGGTACTGTTTTACAGGTTTGTCAGTTGATGGCGACTCGCAAGGTATTGAATGACTTTTTGGTGCTCTTTCCGCACATATGTGGCCTGGAATGATTCTGAAATCAGGCGATAAGATTGCTGAACCGTCATTACCTGAAAGAGGAGTAGGTTTTATACTATGCCGCTTATATTTGGTTTATAATATATATTTTACTATTAAGTAGGATTCTAAATGTCTGAATCTTGAATCCTTTGTGCTAGACTTGTCAGATAAAGAATCTGATTATGAATTTGAGTATGAAGTCCTCTCTGCAGGTTCAGCTGATCCATTTGATGACACGGAAGAATGGGTTTCTGCAAATGGTTTTGCTGGACCTTCAGATATGCGAGGACTGGCTGCTCAAAGTAATCTTGTCCTAGAATGCAAACAAGAGAATGGACCCAGTTCTAATAAGGAGGTTCCCCATGCCTCGAACTTGACAGCCGCGTTGGATGATAGTATTAGCAAAGGAGTATCCAGTGCAGAAGAACCTGAACAGGACACAGACCATGACCAAGCCCCAGAACCGGATGAGGGTACGAATTTTGAATTTGAAGATTTGGAACAGTTGATGTCTGAGATTGGGAACATGCGCGACAGTTCAAGATTGCTGCCGGATTGTCAGAGAAGAGATATGGCTGCAAAGCTGGCCATGAAAATGGCTACCATGTTTGGGGGTGGCAGTGATGGTGAAGTGGAAAGTATCGGCGAGTAAAGGCCATGAGTATCTAAGAGAGATGTGAGTGTTATGAGAGTTATGAAATATTCTGTTTCATTGAATTTATGAGGCTTTACAACTGTGTATATATATATATCTGCTAATCATAATTAGCACCTAATCAAGTATAACTAATTACACTAAGATAACTATTAGTTACACTAAGCATAACAGAAACTGTTATGATGTCCTGGAATATGTGTCAATACACCCCCTCAAGCAGACAGGAGGTAATCCGAGGGAAAGCTTGGACTGCAAAGCACTGAACCGAGCTTTAGAAAGAGCCTTTGTATGAATATCGGCAATTTGATGTTGAGTAGGCACATACTTGACATGAAGAAGATGGGATAGGACCAACTCCCGAATATAGTGATAATCTATTTCAACATGTTTGGTGCGAGCATGAAAAACTGGATTCGATGAGAGAGAGATGGCAGAAACATTGTCACACCAAACAACAGGAACTTTGGATAAAGGAAAACCAATGTCTCTGAAAATCTTACAAATCCATGTAATTTCTGCTGCAGTATGTGCTAGAGAACGATATTCAGCTTCTGTGGAAGAGCGAGCAACTGTGCTTTGCTTCTTTGCACTCCAACTGATAAGATTGCTGCCCAAATACACAGTAGCCACTGGTTGAACGCCGGTCATAAACACAGCCAGCCCAGTCAGCATCAGAGAAAGCAGTGAGATGTAGAGCACTCTTTCGAAACCATAATCCTTGAGTCACAGAACCCTTAAGAAATCTGAGGATCCTTTTGACAGCTTGATAATGCAGATCTCGTGGACAATGAAGGAATTGGCAGACTTGATTAACTGCAAAGGATAAGTCGGGCCGTGTCCAGGTCAAATACTGAAGAGCACCAACAATAGACCTGTATTCATGAGGATCAGATAAAGGGGAGCCAACATGATCTAATTTCTGACTGCCAAGTGGTGTTGAGCACGGTTTGCAGCCTTCCATCTTTGCTTTGAGTAATAAATCAAGCGCATATTTCCCTTGAGAAAGAAAAATACCCTCTGAAGATCTGTGGACTTCCAGGCCTAAGAAGTAATGAAGAGGACCTAAGTCCTTAACTGGAAACAGTGCACCAAGTTGAGTGATAATATCCTTGCAGACTGAAGGATTGGGACCCGTGACCAATATATCATCCACATAAACCAAAATTATCACCAAGGCAGGAGAGAAGGTAACAAAGAGGGAACAATCAGATTGTGAGTTAGAGAAGCCAAGGGATAACAGTGCATGAAACAGTTTGTCATACCAAGCTCTAGGAGCTTGCTTAAGCCCATAGAGTGATTTGTTTAACTTGCAAACATACGTAGACTTAGAAGAGTCAATAAAGCCTGGAGGTTGCTGCATGAATACTTCTTCTTTGAGGGAACCATGAAGAAAAGCATTGCTAATGTCCAGTTGATTCAAGAACCAGTCAAACTGAACAGCCAATGTGAGCAAGATCCGAATGGTCACTGGCTTTGCAACAGGGCTAAATGTGTCCGTAAAATCCACACCTTCTTGTTGATGGAAGCCTTTGGCCACTAATCGAGCCTTGTATCTGTCCACAGAGCCATCAGGATTCCTCTTTATTCTAAAAACCCATTTACAACCAATTAAATTCTGATGGGGAGAAGAGGGAACAAGAGTCCATGTACCAGTAGATTGGAGAGCTTGAAATTCCTCTAACATAGCTTGTTTCCAAGGAGCATGCTTAGAGGCTTGGGAATATGTAGTAGGAACAAATTGAGCAAGGTCAACAGGATGTTTGGTTGCTGTTAAAGCCTTTGGTTTAAATATGCCAGCTTTGGATCTAGTTATCATTGGGTGATTATTGTGGGGAGGTGAAGGGGGTAATGATGGAGAAATCAAAGGAGAGGCAAGAGGTAAAGAAGAGGATATATGAGAAGGTACAGTGGGTGGAGAAACTGAGGAAGAGGCAAGTGGTGAAGAAGAGGATATATGAGAAGGTGCAGGAGGGGCAGTACTAGATGAAGTAATGGGAAAGGGTAAAAGAAAGGTTGAATCTGGAACAGGAAAGGAGGATTGGGTAGAGGATGGAAGAGGCTTGTGCTGAAATGGAAAATTACTCTCATTAAACAAGACATGTCTGGAAATATAGACCCGAGATGTGTGCATATCTAAACACCTATACCCCTTATGCTGCAGGCTATAGCCAAGAAAGGCACATGGTGTACTTTTGCCATCAAGCTTAGAAGAAACATAAGGTTTAAGCCAAGGATAGCAACTGCATCCAAAAACCTTTAACCGTGAGTAATCTGGTGGTTTGTGAAAAAGAAGCTCCCATGGTGATTTATCCAAACCAGAAATTGGCAATCTGTTAACTAGATAAACTGTAGTGGAGAAAGCTTCAACCCAAAATTTGTGAGGAACTTTAGAAGCAGCAAGCATTGTTCGAGTGGTCTCAGTTAAATGCCGATGTTTCCTCTCAACACACCCATTTTGCTCTGGGGTGTGAGGACAGCTGAACTGATGCAAAATACCATGTTGGAGAAGAAAAGAACGAAACTGAGAACTTGTAAACTCACCCCCTGAATCAGACCGTAAAGTCTTGATTTTGTTTCCAGTCAAGGTCTCAACATAAGATTTAAAATGCACAAATATGGAGAAGACCTCAGATTTGAACTTCAAAGGAAATAGCCAACTGTATTTGGTAAACTCATCAACAAACAGTACATAGAATTTATATCCACTGACAGAGGAGATAGGAGCAGGGCCCCAAACATCACAATGAACAAGTTCTAAACTGTGAGTAGTACTGCTAGTGCTTACAGAAAATGGCAACTTATGATTTTTACCAATTGCACAATCTTGACAAAAGAAAGATACAGATGGTTTGCCAGTGTAAGCAAGCTTATTTCTACTTAAGATCTTCCGGAAGATTGCAGAAGAGGGATGTCCAAGCCGCTTATGCCAAAGTTGTAAGGAAGCTGGAGTACTAATATTAGCATAGGATGAGGTAGAAACTGGAGCACAAACAGAAGCAGGTGAAGTACCTTGCACAGGATAAAAGCCAGAGCTAACTGGCCCCTGAAAAAGCATCCTCCCCGTAGAACGGTCCTTGATTGTAGAACCATCAGAATCAAGGATTAATTGACAGTAATTATCCTTTAAAAATTGATATGCAGAGAGGAGATTAAACTTCATATGAGGAACATGGAGAACATTGTTCAACTTAAATGCGGCAGATGGAGTGTTAAGAACAGAAGTACCAGTGTGGTGAATGGGCATACCTTGACCATCACCAATATAGACTTTGTCGTCACCATGATAAGGCATAGGAGAATGAATAGCAGAGATATCATTCGTGATATGCGAGGTAGCTCCAGAATCCAAAATCCAGGTAGGAGAGGTAGATTTAGCAGTGGTGTGAGCACACATTGCTGCCAATTTTGCAGGTGGAATTTTTCCAGCAAAGGCATGATTCATGCGTTCAAAGCAGTCAATTGCTTCATGATCATGAGAGTGACAGATTTGACAGGGAACTCGGCTACCAGAGTACTGTCGATTGGAGCCTCCTGAAGAGCGACTTGGAGTGTAGGAGTTGCCTCGGAAATTATTAGTCCCACGATAATTGGTAAAACTGCGATTGTTGCCACGATTATTGCCACGAGTGTGACCACGATGGCTGCCTCGATAATTCTTAGAAGAATTATAGTTGGAGTATGGAGCAACAAATGCTTGAGGAAAGGCATTAAATTGAGGCGTTGGAAGAAGTGGAGCCTGAGAACGCTGAGACTGAGCAGCGTAGGCATGAAATGGTTCTGTAACAGAAGGAACAATAGACTTCTTCTTTCGATCCATAAAGAGTTCTTTGTTGATCAATAAGCCATGAAGTTCATCAAGAGAGGTGGAGGAAATTCGCAACATTATAGAGTCAATGAAGGATTCGTACTCATCAGAGAGGCCATTGAGCGTAACAGCAATAAGATCAGGATCAGAAATTGGCGCTCCAGCCGCCATTAAAGCATCTGAAATTCCTTTGATTTGTTGAATGTAGGCAGAGATTGAAAGATCACCTTTCTGAACAGAGTGAAGGCGAGTGCGGAGTTGGTGAATGTGCACAGCGGAGACACCACCAAAGCGTTGTTCAAGATTGATCCACAGTTCGCGAGATGAAGATACACCGACAGTAAAAGGGATGATTTCTTCAGATAAAGTGGAATTTAACCAAATGAGGATGTTTTGATCCTTTTCATACCAAGCTTCAAAGGCTGGATTCGGAGCACCGGTGCTGTGGCCAGAACTATCAAGAAGAAACGGCGGTGGACATACTTCAGTACCGTCAAGAATGCCAGTGAGCTTGTAACGGCGAAAGATTGGAGCAAAGAGCGCCTTCCAGATGAGATAATTGTCTCGTTTGAGCTTCGTGGGAACCATACAACTAATGTTTTGGATTGTGATTGAAGAAATAGATGAAATTGGGAAATTAGGGTTAGGGTTCATCGAAGAGGAATTTGGGGCAAGAATGTCTGGATTCGCTGGAGAAGACGTCGAAGATGCCATCGGAGAGACAGAGAAACAGAGATGAAAGATCGAAAAGGGGAAGAATCGATCAAGAGCTGAAGAAAACCACAGAGATCACGAAGAGGTGGAGAGGATCTTGAAGATCGATGAAAATCGCGAAGAGGTGGAGAGGATCGCGAAGAGGCGGTTAAGCAAAGGCTCTGATACCATATGAGAGTTATGAAATATTCTGTTTCATTGAATTTATGAGGCTTTACAACTGTGTATATATATATATCTGCTAATCATAATTAGCACCTAATCAAGTATAACTAATTACACTAAGATAACTATTAGTTACACTAAGCATAACAGAAACTGTTATGATGTCCTGGAATATGTGTCAATAAGTGTTACACATCCCTGAATTTCCTTCTTGGACTTTTTTCCACAAGGTGGCAAGGAAAGGAGAATCGGCAGTCTTCTTCTTCTCTTTTACTGTATAAGTAGGTTCAGAATAGTCGATACCAATTAACCGTGCCCGAACCGAGTTTGTAAGAAAATTGTGCTTTTAATGAAACCATGGAAATGTTGGGATTGCATTCGAAAATCGAAGGGAAGAATCGATTCCTGTATGAGCGCAATTAGTGATGATGTTTCAAAACTTTGATATGAAAACCA